TTGCCAACGTTTCCATATCGTCTCTGCACGGGACCACAGGAGTTATTTTCACGACTGGTGAAGTAACATGGACCAAACTGGCTTGAGAGGAGGAAAATGTTTTCAATTTTCTACCTCAAGCAGCTTGATTTCTTTTTCTCATTCAAAGAATCTGTTTCCTCAAGCAGCGCCAAGCGTGGCTACGTGATGGTGGGACCCGCATCTCCCCGAAAGGAAGGCCTGAACTAATGAGATGCCGAATCCCTCCTGGTAGTGAGCTCAGTCAATTCCCCCTGTAGACGATGGGAATTGCGTACGTCTGGCATTCACAGGAATTGCCGAATACCTCGCTGGATCGGGCCCTGGGTATCACCAGGCTCATAAACCGAGGGTGGCTTTTTTTCCTGACGGCTAAAGAGCAGGTAGCATAATTTTGAAGTAAGTCAGGCTCATGATTTTTACTTCTTATGGAGAAATCCTAAGAAAGTAGTTGTTGCTGCACAATTAGTTGCTCATCATTTCTGCCTTGTTTCCAATTCTTTGGTTACGTGTCTCAGCGAAGGGAGAGAGACAACCCCTTCTCCCAAGAAAACTTATGTCAGAGCCATACAAAAAGGTAGTATCTTCTCATTAGTGGCTGACGTGATTGTAGCGCTGAACAGATCTATGGAGAATAAATGTCATCTGTTCTTCGGATTTTAGCTGTGGGTTTGTGCGTGAAATGCTGTTGACTGGAATAATTTTCATCCTGCGCTTCCTGGCTGATTCTGGCAAAGCCATACCCTGTGTAGCCCTTTAGAGTGAAAGATCTAAATATTTCTATTAGCAGAAGCGTGTTAAATTTCTTCTGTGATATTGGCATAATGGGCTGATGTGAAGCAGGCAGACGCCGGATCAAAGAAAGTAGTCGGTTTGTGAAAAGCTAGGAACAATTTCAGCCTTGTAAACTGCCACCTCTTTGAATTCATCTGTGAATATTCGTCCAGTTTAGCACTTTGCTGCTGTGTATTTAATGGCTGTTTAGGTTAGTCTAGGAACCTTCAGGGTGGCTGGGGAGGGTGAGTTTGAATTTACATCTCCTTTGCATCTCATAGGTGTATGAACTAAGCCAGGAGAAAATGATCAGCATCTTTGTAGGTCAAGATGAGTTAACAAAATTGATTACAGAAATTGATTTATTTGTAATGAGTGTGGTTAAATACCTGACATCATATTCCTGTCTAGAAACGGTTCTAGCCAAAGGTTTGGTAACAGTGACTCCTGGATACCTGGAAATTAATCTGTTTCTAGTTAAAATGTCAATGCATATCAAATGGATGTGAAATAAACCCATGTCTGTAGCTGCTGTGCTGTTAAGAGGCTATTCTTAGCTACATTTTAATCACATCTCCTTAAACAAAAGTTTTGAAAGTGAATTTGTAAATGAAATACTGCCAGCTGTGTTTATGGATGGACTTAGAAAGCGATGAGGCCCTTGCTATGATTTTTAATTACACGGGCATGGAAAGTGTTTGGTTTCTGAGAAAGCCGCATTGTGCAAGTTGAGGCTGGAGACGTGGAGGGTGAATTTAACACAAACTACACTTGGCATGCAAGGAGTATCAAAAGTGACGTGTAAAGCAAATTTAACCTTCACAAATTTAAATCTCTCTAACTCGGAAAGAAATGGTGCTTCTGCAGAATTCTACACAGATCTTGACCATCTAAGCTATCTTTCTAACTGCATATTTCTGGATAGCTGTACAGAGACATTAAAGGTACGCAATACAGTTTTGAAGCCTGCGTAAAGGACACAAACTTCCTAATTATTTTCCTTCCCCCCCCTAAGAGTTGCCTGTTTATCCAGTTCTAAACTAATCAGTCTCAAAGTCTGCCTGTCATGGCTAGGATTTTGCATCCCTCTGTACGTCGTGCCATTGCACTTCCCTTGAGGTGTGAATTGGTTTTGGTCCTCTGAGACCGAAATATTAACCGGCTGCTTAATACCCATTCTGTTTTCTCAGACTGAAGTAGAACTATTCCTCATATTTAAGCTGAAAGGCACGTAAGCCTTAAAGCTGGCAGTCTGTAGGCTCGGGATAAGACCAGGGCAAATGGGAGACGTTGCTTAATACCCAGGTTGCGTGTACGATAACTCCGATGCTCTCAGCTTCCAGCGAGGGAAGGAGGGGACATCGCTCTGGAGCACCTCCTGCCGCGTGTTTGCGGTGGCAGGAATGGGCAGGCGAGCAGCTGCTGGTACGGGGGCTCAGGGAGAGGAAAATGGACACTGGGGAGGAAGGATGCGTGGCAATGACCTTCCAACCTGGCGCAGGACAGCCTATTTCCTGAGCTGCTGACTCAAGGGTACAGCAAGCCCTCCCCATGCGTGTCCTTGGTTGGGATTGGGCAAGAGGGAGGGCAACAGTGGTCAGACACCTCAAATTTGCTGGGAAATGTACAAAACTTGAAACCTGACATGAGGTTTTTGGTGTGAGTCTGGGAATTTATTGCTGGATTTCAATCAAGCGTAGT